CCCCCCCCCCCCCCCCCCGACATTTTCAATTGAGTGTTGACCGCTTATATAGTTATTAACAGTCGGAGCTATTAAAGATCGGAGCTGAGGGGGTGTTTGTTCTTTCTTGACTGTAAACGAGCATTAAATCCCTGCTTCCACCTGCATTCTGCATTATTCAGACACGGACCCTGCTTTGACATGTCTGCTTTGGGATCTCACCTGTTATGGTCGTCGGCCGCACTCGTCCGCTGACTGCAGCGGCTGAACGCCCATTTGGGCGATGATTCGCTTCCTGGAAGTATAGTCCCATCTGAACCTTAACTGAACTTTATTTTAAGTCTTTCAAGGCCGGAAAAATGGCCGCGTGCGGCTGGTGAATGTATGGCAAACCATGTTGCTATATAATTGGATTGTATGGCAAACCATGTTGCTATATAATTGGATCGCTGCTGCTCCGTTGACGCAATCAAACGCCCGACACTGACCCGTCCCGCCCATCCAGCACATTATCACGGCCCGGTCCTACTCAAATTCGGGCCGGGCTTCGGGTCCGAGTTAGAAATGACAGCTCTGTTCTGCAGTTGTTTTTGCTCACATCTGTATTTTTTGGTTTTCCAGACCCCCCAGATCCCACCATCTCCTCTCCCTCTGGAAACTGGTACGCGGGTTTGGAGAAAGCTGAGCTCGTCTGCAACGGTCGGGGATACCCCGAATCTCAGGACATCACCTGGAAATGGTACGATCATCGTTTAGTTGCACGACAAAAACCTGCTCTTTAACCGTCTGGCTGCTGTTGAGACTGTTGCACCTTAACTCACAGTTCTGACAAACTGCTCTTTACACGTCTCTGGAATGTGACTGGAAACGTATGAACCTGAGGTGGATTGCACAGCGACTAAAGACAAAGCGGTGCTCTTCAACTTAAAGTGGGGCGTCTTTTTTTTCCTGCTCGCTTGATTTAGCTCAGGAGAAAAGCTGCGGTGTCGAGTTGCAAAATGCGAAGTGAGAGAATCTGGTGAGGGAGTTTTTTTGTTTTTTTCTCCACACATCGGAGGGAACAAGAGACTCGAGGAAGAACAGGAGACGCATGCTAAGCACTTAATCATAGAGACACTTTAAATATCGCTCTAATGTCTGTTAAAACACAGGGTCTGGGCTTTAATTAGAGACACTGCAGCAGCCATTACAGCTCTGCCCGGGCACACACAGATCGAAGGTTTGGTGTTTAGTTAAAAAAATATTCAGCCATGAGGCAATCTTCAGATAACAGAATGGTTCTGGATTAAACTGCTTCCCCTCCTCACAGATTCTTGAGCACAAAATATTATACGCTTTCTGGGAAATAACCTCCCGACTTGTACATCATTTATCAAGCTACAGATAAGAGTAACTTGAATGTTTTTAGGAAACGGTGTTTCTCCAAATCTGCCCGAGATCCAATCTGATCTGTTCGCTGAAAGTGTCACTTTTAAAATTTTTTTTTTACAAGGACGTGTGCATGAAAGGATGGAATAAACATACACAAAGTTGATGCAACAGAAACCCCAAAAGAGGGGGAGAAAATACAACTAAAATGTGAATCTGTTCGTCATCTGCCACTTGTTCCAGAGAAACATCTGAGAGATTTTCAGAGGGCACGTGTTCCTTCTAAGAAAGTTTTATTTAGAAATGCATGAGCTTTAGTCAAGTTGTAGAGATGTTTAAATTAGGGATGCATGATAGTGGATTTTTGGCCGATATACCGATATGTTAAAACTTATTTGGATGATAACCAATACCGATACTGATATGTTTTTGTCCCTAGACCTAATTAGAGACTACATTTCTCTGCTGTGGAATTAAAATGCATTATTCTGCAGGGTCTTTGTCAGTTTGGCCTGCTACCAAATGCAGATGCCTAAAAGGAGCTGAAAATGATGCAACACTTCAACTTAGATTATGTTTGGTGTCAACTTTATTCATGACATAGGTAGGCGTGCATGACGTCGTAATGTGCTGGCGCTGCAGGCGTCCTTGTCACCGAGTTGTCATACAAAACCAGCGCCTTTTATATCCGTGAGTTATTTTGATGGAGTGGCCGATATTTGACTTTATCGCTAATATAGGCCGATACCGATACCATGCCGATAATATCGTGCATCCCTAGTTTAAAAAATCCATTCATCCTTATTGAATTTGTTGATGTAGAGTAAAATGATGAGATGGGAAAAGATAGCAGACTTTGCCCGTTTGGTTCAGGACAACATTAATGCAATCTAATGCTTACTTATATCCACAAAGTTATCACTTTTTAAGCTTAGACAGATATTTAGACAGTTATTTATTGCTAACTCACCCTAATCTTGTGCGTATGGATCTTCAATCATTTACAACCGACAGCAAATATGTAAAATAACCTAAAACTCTGTTATCTGGCTCTGCAGATCAGCGGTGTAACGCGGCTGTCCTTTCCTTCATACCTTTTTGTTGTTCGCTTCAACAAGCTTTAAACGGCTACTTTTGTTTAATGGCACGCTCAGAATTCTCGTGCCTTGAAAATGTAAGACTTTTACAATTTTGGATTATGCTGAGGATTTCACAAAATGCAGAGTGCAAGTCTGCTGCAACGTGCAAACGTAAATCACACACAGAATGTTGCTGGGTCTGTGAAAATGTATGAATTCGACAACTTTTGTTTATAGTTTTGTGCACTGCAAAGCACGTAAGGATTTCAAAATGGAGTCATAATGCGTGCACGTTGAAGCCCAGATATTCTTGGCATTTCAAAAGTTTTGAGCTTTTATTGGAAAACTGCATTTTTGCGTTGTTAACCAACAAAGGTGTAGTTTCACTTACTGCACGATGGTAAACTTTACCTCTAACAGCACTGATGGGGTGAGCATTCGGCAAAGATGAAATGAGTGAAGTGTGTGTACCTGGGCCAAGTTTGGATCTTTTTAGCTGCCGAGTGGATTCTGACCCATCTCCACTGGTTCAGATAATGTCTCTCTGTGTGACTTGATAATACAAGCTAGGTGGGGCTTTGAGAGACGAAACACGAGCCCAGTTTGGTTCCGGGGAGGTAAAGCAGAAAGCTAAATAGCCACTGCGGCACATTGAAGCCAGGGGCAACTTGACCCGTCTCAGTGGACCCGATCAGAAACTCTCTCCTTTATGTGAGGCCTCAGCTCTCCACCCAGGCTGCAGCCACCAAACCCGGTGTTTATTCGTCCAGCTCGGATCACTAAGCAGCAGGTTGTGGTTTGTGTATATTATTAGTTTCACTCTGTTGTGAAGCCGCAGTAAATCTTTGTTTGGGATTATTTAAAAGCATATCTTCCGTGATGCAAACCGAGCATTGTTGCATTTTATACTGTTACTTAAGAGTACTTAATACTGGAATTCAGGTTTGCCTAAATGAGTCACGCCCTTTGTTTCAAGCGGTGACTCACGTCTTCTGCGCGGCTCACCTCTTGTTGACATCTGAGCGAATTAAAATTACATTTTTCTCCGATTATCTGCAGGAGAGGAGGAGCTCTGCCCAAAGGGGTGCACGTGAGTGGAGAGAAACTCGTTTTTGCCCGGGCCCTGAATGGGAACGACAGTGGGGTCTACGAGTGTAAAGTCAAGAACCCTCTGGGAGAAGGAAAAGCCGAGTATTTGTTAACAGTATCAGGTAGAAAGTATTTCCTAAAAAAAGGTTTTGTTCTTTGTTTAAAACAGGAAAATTAGATACCGCTTGCTGCTTTGTGCTTTGTTTGCTGGCAATCATTACAGGTTGAATTTTTATTAGAGGTAGTTATGCTGCCCCCTTGTGGTGAACTCAAATACGACACTACTGAATTAAAATCCTGGATGAAAGACGCAGATGTTGTTTGTACTGTTAGCAAAATATCTCCTGATCCAGGGAATATATTTAAATGAAACTCTCAGAAAGTAATCATTGCATGCACATCTGCAACTGATTAACATTTTGAGTCAACATGATTCAAGATGGCTACCACAGCCAACTGAACTTCGACAAGGCAAAAATGGCTATAACTCAGACAATATTACAGATATTAAGCTAAAATTTTGTGTAGTAGTAGCCTAACATCACCCCAAAAGTATATTCAGAGTATATTGTGAAATATATTTCTTTAAATTTTGACATTAATTAGTTTCAACCCTTTCTCATATCTCATAACTCACTGGACAGGTTTTAATGATACTCTCATTGTTGGCTAACACAAAAATAACTAACTTTCTCAATTTTATGGATATTGATGTAAAATGCAGCGTGGAAGTAGCTACAAGTTTTCCTCAATATGTTCTTTAACCACTAACGTATATCACAAGGTCTCACGGTGTTGCATGGGATTGCACGTAAGGTCATTTGCAAGTTTTGATCCAAATGGTTCATAATTTCTGACCAGAAAATGATCTTAGTTTAAAACATTTGCCTTAAAGGTGTTTGGTAATAAACCCATCTTCCAAGGAATGCTTGGCCTTTAATAGAAGGTGTTTTTTGTTGTCTCCCCACCAAAATAACGAACAGGAGGATCCCCCAATGGAAACACGCTGCTGATCATTATCGGCGCCGCAGCCGGAGCGGCGGTCATGATCCTGATCGTTGTGGTCCTGATGGTCAGACGCCGACACCAGAGGAAAACCAAAACTCTTAAGATGCAGCTTCAGGAAAAAACGTGAGCGGAGCTTTTTGTTGCGTGAAACTTTCCCATGCCTGATTAACGGCCTCCGATGACAGATCCTCTGAGTGTTTCGTCAGCAGCTGATGTTGAAACTGTTAAAATGCTTGACCAGTTTTTCTGAAAATTACATTTCCAGACACACTATTGTTTGATAAATCCTCTAAATATACAACTTTTTTTTTATTTTTCCCAGCGATGAAATCAACAGCCTGTCGAGGCCGGGCTCCTTCAGGAGGCTGAACTCTGTCAGCACAGACCCCAGAATGCAGGTATGAACACAAAGCTCTGCTTCTGACAACAAAAACCAACGAGTGTGAGATGCGAGGCCGCCACGCCCGTCCTGCTCGGGCGGAGCCGGCAGCAGCTCTGTCTGCTGCGGAGGCCGATGATTACAGGCAGCTGCAGCGTTAAATCCGTGACGTGCAGTGTTTTCAAAAGTCTCATCGCGCACGTCATTCTGAGACTCTTGTTTTATTTTTTTAGTTTTTGCATTCATGTTTGCTGATTTGATCAAATGTTCCCTCTGCTTTCCAGAGTGAAGAATACATCCTGGTCAAAATCGACAAGCGGACTTTAAACAGCCAAATGTCTTTGGTGAGTTTCTGATCTGAAGCTGAACATTTTTAAGCTCTTCCAGTTAAAATGGGCCTCGAGTTTAAGTAAAATTAAATTTAAAGTTAAAGTACAAGAGACTTGTGACTTCCAAGATGCTAAACAAACTCTAAGTTCTTCAACAAGCAACCTCACCAACTATTCTTCTTTATCCAATTATGACCACTGTTAATAGTTTTTATAACGCTGAAGCAAATACACTCATGTCAATTATTTTTACTTTAGTAAAATTATTCATACATTAATGTTTCAAGACCAACAATGGGATCAGACGTAAGTGAAAAGAGATTAAATTTGTACATCTGTTTAAAACCTGTTTCTTCCATCTTCAAAATACCTCCAAACTTCGCCCATCTCTCACTTTTGCTGATGCAGAGAAACTCGTCCATGCCTTTGTCTCCTCCAGGCTCGACTACTGCAACCCCCTGTTTACTGGAATACCCGGCAAAAACCTTCAGAAGATATATTCAAAACAGTGCAGCCAGGATTTTATTGAGAGCTCATAAATTTGAACATATTACACCCATTTTCCATAACCTCCATTGGCTTCCTGTCACCTACAGAATTCAGTACAAAATTGCTCTCATTACCCATCAGTGTTTGTATAGAAATTCACCAGATTATCTGAAGGACCTTCTTGCTCCATATTCATCCACCCGGTCCCTACGATCACAGAACAGTCATCTCCTTCTCCTTCCACAAACTAAATTAAGGATCATGGGAGATCGGGCATTCTGTGTGGCTGGCCCCCGCCTCTGGAACTCCCTCCCTGAATATCTGAGGGCTCCACAATCATTGACTGACTTTAAAAAAAGGCTTAAATACTTTTCTTTTTAAGCAAGCCTATTCTGCTTCCACATGATTATCACTGATTTTAGTTGATTTTATTTTTTATTTTAGTTGATTTCATCATTGATTTTAGTTGATTTTTATCATTGATTTTAGTTTATTTTTGTCATAGATTTTAGTTGAATTAATCATTGATTTTAATTGATTTTGCCATTGGTTTTAGTTGATTTAATCAAAATTGGGTTGATTTCATCATTGATTTAGTTCATTTTAATTGATTTCATCATTGATTTTAGTTTATTTCATCATTGATTTTAGTTTATTTTTATCATTGATTTCAGTTGATTTCAGTTGATTTCATCATTTATTTTAGTAGATAGAATCATTGATTTTAGTTGATTATCAGATTTTAGTTTTTGTCATTGATTTCAGGTGATTTTATCATTGATTTTAGTTGATTTCATCATTGGTTTCAGTTGTTATCATTTATTTCCGTTGATTTTATCGATTTTAGTTGATTTGATCCTTGATTTGATCCTTGATTTTAGTTGATTTTTAATCATTGATTTTAGTTGATCAAATCATTGATTTTTATCATTGATTTTAGTTGATTTTTAATTATAGGTTTTAGTTGATTTGATCATTGTTTTTAGTTGATTTTTATCATTGATTTTAGTTGTTTTTATCACACCTTTTAGTTGATTTCATAATTGATTTCATTTTGATTTGACCATTGATTTAAGTTGATTTTATTATTGATTTTAGTTGCTTTACCACAGATTTTAGTTGATTTTATCATTGATTTCAGTTGATTTTATAATTGATTTCATTGTTGATTTCAATTGATTTTTTCATTGGTTTCATTGTTGATTTTAGTTGATTTTATCAATGATTTTAGTTGACTTCATCTGATTTCAGTTAAGTTAATCAGATTTTAGTTGATTTCATCACTGATTTCAATTGATTTTATCATTGATTTTAGTTGATTTCATCATTGATTGTAGTTGATTGAATCAATGATTGTTATAATTGATTTTAGTTGCCTTTATCAGATTTAAGTTGATTTCATCACTGATTTCAGTTGCTTTTTATAATTGATTTTAGTTGATTTCATCACTGATTTTTGGTTGAATTTGTCATTATTTTTTAATTTAATCATTGATTTAAGTTGATCAAATCATTGATTTTATTTTTGATTTTAGTTGTTTTTTAATTATAGGTTTTAGTTGATTTCATAATTGATTTCATTTTGATTTGACCATTGATTTGAGTTGATTTAAGTTGCTTTAACACAGATTTTAGTTGATTTTATCATTGATTTCAGTTGATTTTATCATTGATTTCATTGTTGATTTTATCATTGATTTCATTGTTGATTTCAATTGATTTTTATTGGTTTCATTGTTGATTTTAGTTTATTTTATCAATGATTTTAGTTGACTTCATCTCTGATTTCAGTTGAGTTTAATCATATTTTAGTTTATTTCACCATTGATTTTAGTTGATTTTATTATTTAGTTGATTTTATCATTGATTTTATTTGATTTTTATCAGATTTTAGATGATTTCATCACTGATTTCAGTTGATTTCATCATTGATTGTAGTTGATTGATTCAATAATTGTTATAATTGATTTTAGTTGCCTTTATCAGATTTTAGTTGATTTCATCACTGATTTCAGTAGCTTTTTATAATTGATTTTAGTTGATTTCATCACTGATTTTTGGTTAAATT